AAGAAAGAAAGAAAGAAAGAAAGAAAGAAAGAAAGAAAGACAGTTACTAACTGTGGAGTAGAGCGAGGAAGCACAACTCAAGTGGAGGCATCATTAAGACTGGAAGTGAGGAAGGCACAGGACATGTGTGTGGACCCCAGTACAAAGCACCTAGTTTCTACATTTGTGGTGTGGTGGTGGGCATAGCTGCCTTCCAAATCATCTGGTTTCACATGAGGATTGGGTTTGTGGTGGGGAGTAGTGGGAAAAGGAGTTAGAATCACCAGATTGTGGAAGAATTCTTTGAATGTCATGCTAGAGTTATGCTAACATTATGCTAGGACATGGGAACCTAATTAAGGTTCTTGATCAAGGGAATGATATGTTTATAGCCAGTAGTTTGGGGTTAACGGTAAGGTGTTGGCTGGTTGTGGTGAATCATTTCTGGGTTGGGGGCCTGGAGATGTGGTATATCTTAGTGGTCATACTGAATACTGAATAAATGGCATTTTTGAAACCTTAGATAAGTGGTTCTCAACCTTACTGTGTAGTAGAAATCGGCTGGAGAGTTTTTAAAAAATATTAAGATGTGGGCCCAACCCAAGATTGATTCCGTTATTCTAGGGTAAGTTCTGTGCGTGAGGACTTGTTTAGAGTGCCGTCATGTATTTATATAAATACCTTTATATAAAAGTAATGATAACCTGAGGCCAGGGTTGAGAACCACTGCTCTAAGGTAAATAATACGTTCATTCCTTTTAGCAGTTTTTGAGGGTGAAAGATGCCCTGTACTTGACATGGTGGTGTGAAAAGTTCTGATATTTTATGGCATGGAATTGAAACAACACTCGATGAATTAATTTTGTCACTAAGTTTTATATAGGAACAAAAATGTAAGTGAATATTGTTGGCAAATGACTATTGATCGAGAGAAACGTTTAAATGTTTCTTGGCAGTTTTGTATTACACTTACAATCAGGTTTAGTGAGAGCTTTTATAAATAACCCTAAAGCAAACTCTTGATAGAAACTGGCCATGCCTTTTTTTCCCCTTCCCTTTCCCCTTCCTCAAATGGATGTCAGTACTATAAAATGTGTGTTTTAGAATTATCCTTTTCTTTCCCTGCTCTGTCAGCAGTTTGCAATTCATAATTTATGGTTTTTTTCCCCAGTATGAGTGTATATATTCTGCAGTTGTAACACAAAATGTAGTTCAGTATTGGATGGTATATAACTGCACTATCATGGTAATTGTGAATGTTAAGTTTTTGTCTAGAAATGTCTAGAGTCAGAAACTCTGCCACAAATCTTAAAAATTGCCTTTCACCTATTTGATTCTCAGCACTGTCTTTTTTAAGTAAAAACAATTTCCCTTGAATTGGCTTCACTGAACTGTTGAGTAAAATTTGAACAGTTGATGGTCTCCTTTCTTAGGAAATAAGTGTTTGAAATAAACTAGAATTTATTCTAGGTAAGTTTGTAAATTGTTTTTCATTCCTGTGTCATGAATCTGACTCAGTGGTTGATGTGTTAAGGAAAACCATAAACCACCACAGGACGTTCTAAAAAGTACACAGTCCTCAGAGTCGGGGAGGGACCTTGACATTGCCAGGCTTTGTGGCTTCTCAGAACCTTGGTTTCCTCCTTTAAAAGAAGAGAATTAGATGAAATCATTTCTGTGGTTCCTTCAAGCTCCAGCATTTTTTTCAGTATTAGCAAAGAAACGTGACTGAAGAATATAAAAAGATGATGTATTTTAAAAACTCCTTATTTCTCTCTAAAAAGCCTACTTTAAATGTCATTTTTACTCATCATCCTCTCTGCTCATCGCCTTGTGTCTGAATTACAAGACAATTTTTTAAAATGGTTTCAGGGTCATTCCTTTCTTCCTCTTCTGGAAATAACCAATGTGGCCAAAATAGGGTGTATAAATTAAGGGTGTTATAACTTAACTGACTTTTAAAGCCATTAATACTGACCTTTGAGACCTGGCTTTCTCCTTGGTCCCATCAATCACTTCTATACCACCTCCCCCAATACAAAAGGTTAGGCAGATGTGGATACAGTTTATATTCCTGAGGGTTATAGTGGTGGAGAGGAGAAAGGGGCAATGAATAGAGGAAACACCATATTTTTTCTTTTTATATTTCATAGTGAGTATAGCTATATTTAATTTAAAGATGAATATATGTGTGAATGTTGATTCCTTTCTGTATTTAGGTCATACTGTTAGATATTACACTGGAACTTCAGAAGCAAATTATGTCTGAATTGGAAATTCTTTATAAGGTAATTTTTCCTTGGTCATTTTTTTCTTACAAAGCAGCTTATGGTATTGACTTGCAGGGTTTGGTTGTTTTTTTGTTTTTTTTTTTTTTTAACTATTTTTGTCTTATTTTTATTACAGTGTGATTCATCATATATCATAGGGTTTTATGGTGCATTTTTCGTAGAAAACAGGATTTCAATATGTACAGAATTCATGGATGGTGAGTTTTCCCTATTATAATACTTTTAAAATGACTTGGGAGGCAGAGTGCTTTAAAACCTGGTTCTGATATAGATGTCAAGTAGAATTAAAAATAATTACAATATACCAGTAATGACCTCCTTTATACTCTAAAACATCTAGTTTTAGAGGTTCCTGGTGTTAAATATTTACAGCTGAGCTATAGTTTCAAGAATGTAATTTCATTTACTTTTATTGAAAATTTAAATAGAACAGATTAAATGCTGGCCTAATCGGTGGTTTGATATTTGATTCTTCCATACAATCTGTCTTTACTTGCAAAACAGATGTTCTGTCTTTTAATGTTTCAATAGCCAAAACAGATTTTCTTTTAAAGAAATCTATTAACCCAATGTCCTGTGTCTTTTACAAAGAAATCGGTTCTTAATTGCAAGATAAGAAATTGTTTTTCAACACAGCTGTTTAGCCAAGATGTGTTTAGTTTTCTTTGGACTCTAGCCCTTTCCTTTCATCTGTATTTTTCATTCATTTCTATTTTGGTAGCTCTTTCTTGGTCTGAATATTATGGCAAAATGTAGATTTCTTGGTACCCTGTTCCTGAAATAATGTCATCATTGTTATTTACCCATTTTAAATCAAAGCAGTCTTTAGATTTTATATATTCAGTTTTTCAGTTTCTAGCCCATTAAAACACAACATTTTTTTAAAGTTTATTTATTTATTTTGAGAGAGTGAGTGTGTGTGCACATGTGAACAGGGGAGGAGGAGAGAGAATCCCAGGCTGGCTCTGCACTGTCAGCATGGAGCCCACCGTGGGGCTCGAAGTCACAACTCTGAGATTGTGACCTAAGCCGAAATTAAGAGTCAGATACTTAACTGACTGAGCTACCAAGGTGTCCTTCAGCATTTTTTCTTATACTTAGTTTATTTGGTGGATTCTTAGTGTGTAACTAAAGTAACTAGTTCATGCCTTGCAAGACATTTTCAGAAGTTATCTTTGGTAGGTTGATACTATAATAAGGTAGATAATGTGTTCTAAATTCTGTTTCATATTAAAATATGCATTTATTGAGATAGCATATTTAATCACAATAAAATTCACCATTTTGATGTATACAATTCATTGGTTTTGAGTATTTTCACAAGGTTGTGCAAGCTCATCATCACTAATTCCAAAACATTTTTATTACCCCAGAAACAAACTCCTTAGCCATTAGCAGCCACTCGCTATTCCTCTAGTCCGTGGCAACTGCTAATCTACTTTCTGTCTCCAGATTTTGTACTCTTCACGTATATGGAATCATGCAGGATGTGGCCTTTGTGTTTGGCTTTTTATTTTATGAAAAAAATTTTTTAAATTTTGTTTATTATTTTTGAGAGAGAGAGCATAAGCAGGGAATGAGCAGAGAGAGAGGGAGACAGAGAATCTGAAACAGGCTCTGCACTGTCAGCACAGAGCCTGACATGGGGCTCAAACCCATAAACTGTGAGATCATGACCTGAGCTGAAGTCGGACACTCAACCAACTGAGCCACCCAGGCACCCTGTGGCTTCTTCTACTTAGCATAACGTTATCAAGGTTTCCATGTTGTAGCATGTATCGGTACTTTATTCCTTTTTATGGCTGAATAATAAACTACTCATTTAGCAGTTGGTGAGCATTTGGGATGTTTCCACTTTTGTGCTGTTACGAATAATGCTGCTCTGTATGTTTGTATGCAGGTTTTTCGTGTGGATAGAAGTTTTCAGTTCTCTTGAGTATATATCTAGGAGTTCAATTGCTTGGTTGTATGATAACTGTATTTGTAATTTTTTTGAGGAACTGTCAAACCATTCCATCTATTTCACACCCGTTTGCATTCACAGCTGCAATGGATGTGGGTTTCAATTTCTCCACATCTTTGCCAACACTTGTTACTGTGTGTCTTTTTTAGTATAGCCTGTGAGAAATGATATCTTTTTAGTTTTGATTTAGATTTCCTAATGACTAATGACATTGACAATACTTCCATGTACTTGTTGGCCATTTGTATATCTTCCTTTAGAAATGTGTATTCAAATCTTTTGTCTATTTTTACATGGGTTATTTGTGTTTTTATTGTTGAGTTGTAAGAATTGTGTATGTATTCTGGATAGTAGTATCTTACCAGATGTATGATTTGCAAATATTTTCTTCCACTCTGAGTTGTCTTTTCATTTTCTTGATAGTGTCCCGTGAAGCATAAAAGTTTTAAAATTTTATGAAGTTAAGTTCATATTTTTTTTCTTTGGTGGCTTGTACTTTAGATGTCATATGTAAGAAAGTATTGTATAATCCAAAGTCATGAAAGTTTATACCTGTTTTCTTCTAAGAGTTCTATAATTTTCATTCTTAAAGTTTTTTAAATCTATTTTGAGTTAATTTGTGTATGTGATATAGAGTCCAAATCCATTCTTTTTAATGTGAATATCCAGTTGTCCTAGCACCATTTGTTGAAAAGATTATTCTTTCCCATTGAATTTTCTTGGCACTTGTCAAAAATTTATTGACCATGAAATGTATTTCTAGATTCTCAGTTCTATTCCATTGATCTATTTGCCCATCCTTGTGGCAGTACTAGACTGTCTGTCCTTGCTTACTTTTTTAAAAAAAATGTTTATTTATTTTTGAGAGATAGAGAGCACAAGCAGAGGAGGAGCATAGAGAGAGAGAGGAGACACAGAATCCAAAGCAGGCTCCGGGCTCTGAGCTGTCAGCACAGGGCCTGACGTAGAGCAGAGCTCGAACTCAACGAACCATGAGATCATGACATGAGCTAAAGTTGGACACTTAACCGACTAAGCCACCCAGGCACCCTGTACTTTTACTTTATTATTCTGTGTTACTTTAGCTTTGTAGTAAGTTTTGAAATTAAGAAGTGTGAGTACTCCAACTTTATTCTTTTTCAAGATTGTTTTAGCCATTCTGGGTCCCTTGCATTTTCATATGAGTTTTACAGTCAGCCTCCCAAATTTGCACACACACAAAAAGTCCAACTAAGTTATTGATACAGATTGCAGTGAATCTGTACATCAGTCTGGGGAGTACTGCCACTTTAACAATATGAAGTCTTATACTTCATGAACACAGAGTATCTTTCCATTTATTTAGATCCTCTTTAATTTTTTTTAGTGATACTTTGTAGTTTTTGGTATTCAAGTTTTGCAGTTCTTTTGTTAAATTTATTCATAAATATTTTTTGATGCTATTATAAATTGGGCTTTTATTTCAATTTTGGATTATTCATTGCTAGTGTATATAAATATAAATGATTTTTGTATATTGATCTCTATCCTGCTACCTTGTAGGATAAATTTATTAAATTTGTTTCTCAATCCTAATAGATTTTTGTAGCTTCCTTAAGATTGTCTGTATAAAACATGTCATCTGCAAATAGACGTAGTTTTACTTCTTTCTTACCAACCTGGGTGCTTTTAATTTCTTTTCCTTGCTTAATTACCCTGGCTAGAACCTGCAGTAGAATGTCAAATAGAAGTGGTGTGAACAGGCATCTTCTTTTTCTCCTGATCTTAGATGGAAAGCTTTTAGTCTTTCACTATTAAGTGTGATATTAGTTTTGGGTTTTAGTAGATGTCCTTTATCAGGTTGTCAAAGTCCCCTTGTCTTCCAAGTTTGTTGAGTATTTTTGGTTTTTCTGTGTTTGTTGAAATGATAATGATTTTTAAATCCATTTTTCTATAATTCCATAATTAAATCCATTATTCCATAATAGTATTATATTAATTGACTTTTGCATGTTGAACCAATTTTGTATTCCTGAGATAATTCCAATTGGTCATGATGTATAATGCTTTTTATAAATTGCTGGATTCAGTTTGCTAGTATCTCGTTGAGGATTTTTGGATTTATATTCTTAAAGAATATTGGCCTATAGTTTTCTTTTCTTGTAATGTCATTGTCTGGTTGTGGTATCAGGATAATTGTGGCCTCAAAGGAGTTGGAAAGCATTTTTTCCTCCTCTAGTTTTTGGAATAGTTTATGATGGATTAATGTTAATTTTTCTTTAAACATTAGGTAGAATTCACCAGTGAAGCCATCTGGTCCTGGGGTTTTCTTTGTGAGTAGTTTTTATGGTCAAGTGGCATCTGTTGCCTATTATCAGGAGAAATCCAAGCACTTCTGCCCACTGCATCTTAGTATGGAGTTGCCAAGGAAAACACAGTGCAATGAAATGCTGGATTTAACAGTGCCTTACATAAAATTAAAAAGAGAGAGACAGACAGACAGACAAACAGCAAGATTAGTTTGGGAGTATCAGTTCCCTGCGGCCAACAGTAAGTCCTTCCTGGCAGCCCATACAGGGCCCTTGGCCCACACACACCCCTCATGCTGCAGCAAAAGGATCCTCCACCCCACCCTACTCCTGTGGTGTCAGAAGTACCGAAGGCTGGGGACATGTCTGAAGGTCATTGACACACATGCTTAAGCAGGACAAAGGAGTACACACTGAATTTGAAACAGGGAAAAACAGTCCAAAACAAAGAGGTAAGCCCAGCACAGGCTACCTGGGCTCTTTATCTGCTGATAAACAAGTGTTCCAGACCCATGGCCCATTCTTATGTGGCCACATCAGGTCCAAAGAACAGTGCACATAAGACCGTCTTTCCCAACAGTGTTTTTTAATTGTAGTATATTACACAGATAACATATAATTTACTGTACTACCCATTTTTGAGTGTGTAGTTCATAACTGGTAAGTACATTCACATTGCTCTGCAACCAGTGCCACCATTAATCTCCAGAACTCTTTGCATCTTGCAAAACTGAGACTCTGTACCCATTAAACAGTAACCCATTGCCTCCTAACCCCAGCCCCTGACTACTAACATTCTGGGTTTTTGTCTGCATGAATTGGACTACTCTGGGTACCTCATTTCAGTGCAGTCACACGGTATTTGTCTTTTTTGGGGACTGGCTTATTTTACTTTGCATAATGTCCTCAAGGTTCATCCATGCTGTGGTGTGTGTCAGAATTTTTT